CCCTCCCATAGGGAATAAAAGAGGTGCAAAAGGGGAGGGGTCTTTGCAGGAGACAATTAGTTCATTGCTGCATTCTTGCCAAGTATTGCGGCGTCTGAACGATATCAGCCTGGTCACTATCCAAACCCGATAAAGGTCAGTAATTGTGAACTACCTTGAAAGACTGTGGGAGAGGAAAGACTTTGCTGCAAAGGAATTCACTGTAAATTAAATAAAAGGGGTTTATCAGGACGAGGACTCGGCGTCGTGCTGCTGGGGAAGCCTAGGTCGCAACAGTGGCATCTCCATCTGTATGATCTTAACCTCTTAATTCCATCTCCTTGACCAACAGGTGCCAAATTTCCCATCAAGTGGACAGCTCCAGAAGCCGCTCTCTATGGCAAGTTCACCATCAAGTCAGATGTGTGGTCCTTCGGCATCCTCCTGACAGAGCTGGTGACCAAGGGCCGAGTACCATACCCAGGTGAAGTGGAAGAGGCTTCCTTTAGCCTAGAGATGAATTGTTGCAATACTCACTGATGCCAGAAATCTTCTTTTCAAATAGAATTGGCCTTTGGGTTTGCATAATCCATTAAACCATAACATCATTGGATTATGTTGCGGTTGAGTTGGGTTGGGTTGGGTTGGGTTGGGTTCAGCTCAACATCCAGTCATTGCAATTGCTGCAGTTTTAGCAGTGTTTAGCTTCTCGTATGAGGTGCTATCTGAGCCTAATATGCTGTGTTTTATTTGATAAACACTGGTGAATCAGCTCCTGATTCATCTAATGATTGAGCAATTTCTACAGCTTTGAAGGCCACATCAGAATTCATGTGGCTGACGGAGGACTATATTCCCACAGTCATTGGGGCCCAGATTCAGAGTTGACCTGATTTGTGTGGAGAAGTAGTTGGGAGGCTAAAGAAAAGATAAAGGGGCTCTTGAAAGCACATTTTTTTGGCCTCTCTGAACTTCACAAATTTTGGAAAAATCTCCCCAAAGGCCAAATTTTAGCCCCCTATTCTGTTGGGGTCTGAGGACCACACATGTTGCCCGTTTGAGTCAGTATGATGCACCAACCCTGCTCTATGTGTTCTCACACAGCTCCTGTCTTTTTGATGTGGCTTGAGTTACCAAATGTTGCAGTGGAGCATCTCCCCATTCACAGGAACTGCGAACACAATCTGTTTGCAGCCCCAGTGAATTTGTGCACACTGGCCCTTTTCTTAGTTTTAATTTTGTATGCCAGTCTATATGTCTCTGTGCCTTTAAGTCACCCTTGGCAACAATTTCAACAGTGATTTTGAAACTCTTGACTACCTCTTGGGGCTGAGAGGGAACGATTAGCCCAAAATTGGCTTTATACCTAAGATGTAACTAGAATTCATGGTATCCTGGTTTCAAGGCTGCTGCTTTAACCACTATCCAAAATTAGCTTTCCATTATGTCAGGGTTCCAAGTAACACCCCCCAAGGAAAGAAGACTCCAAAGCTTGAAGTTCATCAAAGTTCCACTTTATTAGAAATGTCATGTTGGCACATCTGGGAAAATCCGAATCTGAAAACTTCCAGGTTTTCCCCACCCAAGTGAAAGTTCAAGTCCCCGTCCAGCACCCACATGTCCATCACATGGTCCAATCAGGCACCATCCAAAACTGGAGATGCCTCCCAGTCACACCACTCCATGTGCAGGGCAAGATGTCCTTGACTCTCTGAGAAAGGAATGTTATTTAGACTATATATCTCCCATACGCCATATAATATCCCCTCCCATTTTCCCACAGTAGAAAATGTGGCCCCCCTGAAGGCCCAATTCAAAAGATGACTCCCAGGCCTGACACCTTGATTCCTAGAGATTCACAACAGGGGCCATCCCACCCTTAAGCCTTTATCTTGTCGTGTCCTTCTCGTGCAGGCATGAACAACCGGGAGGTGTTGGAACAAGTGGAACGGGGTTACCGCATGCCCTGTCCGGCGAATTGCCCTCCGTCATTGCACGACCTGATGGTGCAGTGCTGGAGGAAGGAGCCCGAGGAACGCCACACTTTCGAGTACCTCCAGTCATTTCTAGAAGACTACTTCACTGCGACAGAGCCTCAATATCAGCCAGGAGACAACCAGCTGTAACCGATGGATGGGGACCACGGAGAGCTCCCTCCATGGGGAACTCTCTCCCATGTGGTGGGAAGCTGGGACGCACTGCAGGAATGTCTTCCCTATCCAGGGCCAGGAACCGAGGGTCCCACCTGGTAGAACTGGGCTTAAACTCCTTTCTTTTTTCATTTTAATTTTATTCCCTTTTTTGGGGTGGGGGGGACATTGCTTTTTTTTTTATCCTCGTGGTTTTGTGTTTTAAATTCCGACTCATTCCAAATAGATGCCAGGCCAGTTTTTGGAAAGTTTTTTTTTTTTAAGATGGAGATGATGAGGAGTGTGGGGAGGTAGATGGCCAGAGGAGAGGTTTTGTTTCTTTAATAGTCCCATCCTCTCTTAATTAAGTTACTTCTGTGTTAATTGGAGAACCTTTGGCCCTTAAAAGTTCCCCCTGTGGTTCTCTGAAGAGGCTGTGTACTTCCCCATGGGTTCCAGCCCACAAGGAGGGACCCGAGGGGAGTTGTAGCCCCAAATGTTTGAATGCACCTTTCCCCTAACCCTGCTGCAGGCTACAAGGATAAAGACAGGAGGGCTACAGAGCCACAGGATAAAGAAATTTGCACAACGAAGTTACCTAGCCATCCTGCAACCAGTGTTCTCCAGATATATTGTGACTTGCACCTCTCGGAATCCACCGGCTTGCAAGGGCTATGCTGGCTGGGGATTCTGAGAGTTGTAGTCTCGTGGCATCAGGCATGGGTTCCAGTTCCTGTGGAACTCCCAACTGTCCTGAGGCCGTTGGCCAAACAATCTGGGTTTGATCAGCCCGTTCAAGTCTTGCGAGATCTGGACTCCGTTCCTCCCCTACAACATTCCGCGACGTGGCCCACACTATGGACGGTGGGCACAATTTTTCTTCTCCTTCCTCATTATCGCCCATGCTCTGAATTCGTGACTTGGTAACTATCTGGATATCATGTTTGAAATCAGCGCGTTGCAACTATGATAGGAGAATGCATGTAGGCAGAATCCATGATAGGTGGATCAATCAATGTCAGCCTCTTTCTCGAAGGGGGTGCAGGTAGGGGGGTCAGCTTGGCTCTGAAAGGATACCCTGGGGGGCTGCACTTCAAAAAGGAGACGGGTCAGGACGCAGCCCTAATTCGCTGGTGCATAAGGGAAGCAGACAGCCTTGGCTAGGACAACTGTCAGGGAAAGGTGTGTGCCAAAATGGCTCTGGAGCCTGTTTGCAGAAGGAGAGGAGCGTCTGAGCTGATTACTGTGGAACTGTGAAGTGTCTGTTCCACAGCCACATGGTGCCTTCTGACAATAAGATGACGCGCCTTACCAGATGGGGGCTTGTGCAGCATCCCTTGAAAATTAATGGTTTTTGCTTGTCAACTGGAAGCCGTTCCAGATGTTCCTTACCAGATGTGCTGGGACTGCGGCGTCCAAAATTCCTAGCTAGCAATTACCTAGCCCTAGAAAATGTGGAGGAAACGGCTGCCTTACCTGGAATCCATAGCCCAGTTGTTCACCGGCTAACTTTTTCTCATAGATCCTCTTGAAGAGCTCCTGGACTGCGGCGTTGGTGCCGAGGACGGTGGCAGAAATCTTCAGTTCCTCGGGGAGGAATGTCACACATGAAGTCACGTCAAGGGGAGGGGGGAGGGATCCATTCCACAAAGAAGATGCTGCTTTTGACGTTCAGCATCTGCTCATCCACCTCCTTCATGGCCATTCTGCCCTGGAAGATGGCTACCACCGTCAGGTATTGGCCGTAGCGGGGGTCATTTCCATCCTTCCCTGTAATTTGAAATACAGCCAAGACACTGGGTTGATAGTAAAGCTATGCAGATTTACTGAGAAATAAGCTTTACTGCTTACCGTATTTTTGGTCTTTAAAACGCACTGGCGTATAAGATGCACCATGATTTTGAAGCGATAAATTTTTTAAAAAAAAGTTTTTGCACTCTGCAGGCCTTCCAAACCCTCTGCATGCCTCATTTTTGGCTTGTAGAGTGCTCCTGTTGGCTGGAGGGGGGGCAAAAACAAGCAAAAACAGTCCATTTTTTGCTCGTTTTTGTCCTCCCAGCCCCCAGGAGCACTTTGCAATCCTCCCAAACCCTCTGCATGTCCATTTTTGCAAAGGAGGCGGGGTTTCAGGAGGCCAAAAATGCTGTATTCAGTGTATAAGACACACCCAGATTTTCACCCTCTTTTTTTGGGGGGGGAAGGTGCGTCTTATAGTCTGAAAAATACTGTATTTCAATCGTGGTTCTGAATGCATCATCACTGTATGGCTTATCACCTGATGGACAAAATCAGAGAAAATGCAGAGTGAACGCAGGCAGCAGTGGCTCTTCCTTAGCACCTCAACAAAAGAACAAGAAGCTGAAAAAATCGTTGCGCCAGTGACAAGCAGTTTGTGACAAGAGGTCCTCCACCATGGGACTTTTGAGACCAGAGTTGTCGAACCTCATCCTACATTGGCAACTTTAAGACTTGTGGACTTCAACTCCCAGAATTCCCCAGCTGGGAGTTGGAAGTTCACAGGTCTTAAAAGTTGCCAAGGTTGGACAAACTCCCCCCCCCCCAACTTTAGACCAAGAGAAGGTTGGCAGCTGCCCAAGGGTGCCCTCTGCTGCCCATGGTGCTGAAGAGCAACGCCATAGAATATAAGCCACTTTATTTGGGTTTCTCCAACCTTTTCTCAACCTTGAGATTTACGATTAAATCAGCGTAGGGTTCTGGGAACTGAAATGATGTATTTTGGCAGAGGGAAGGATGAGTTCACTGACCATGAGGAAGCAAGTAAATGAGTTGGAGGTCCGTATCCTTTCCTTGCCACGGGCTTCCGTTCAGTGGGGTCCTTCCAGTAAAGCAAGCAAAGCCCATCCATTGACCATATTCTCTTTGCTTCACAACCATGATTTTCTTCGTAGAGTCCTCTGTGGTCCTCCCTGCACTTCTGGGAAGCTATCATGTCAAGGTTCCTATCCTGGAAATTTTTAAAAGCCCTTGATTGATTGATTCATTCATTCATTGATAGGACAGCTAGCCAGATTCCATGCCAGTAGACCCTGGGAGGTGTAGGCAGACAAGCCAGGATGAGAAAGGGAGGGGCAGAGTCTTTGGGAAGAGGGTAACCACTGCTGGCTTATAGCTAGACAATATTGGAAAGCAACCCAGGGCCAGGTTGTTCAAGTGTCTTTGCTTGGAACAGAAATCTATAGATACTGAGCACGCACAAACCTACAAAGCAAAGTTAAATAAGTTTACATGCCCTGTCCAGAGATTTTTTTAAAAAATTGTTATTCAGATGCCTAGGAGCCGACCCTTTCTATGCTATATAATGTTGGTTTTTTTAAAAAAAAAATACTGTACATAAAAGAGAAATAAACCTTTGTAACAAGGCTGGGTATGGATCTTTGTCAAGCAGAACAAGTCTGTTTTCAGAGTTAAATCAGAGCAAAGATGAATGGAACATAATCCTAGGCCACAGTTTGTTTTGTTTTGGGTAAACGTAAAGGTTCCCCTCGCACATATGTGCGAGTCGTTCCCAACTCTAGGGGCTGGTGCTCATCTCCATTTCAAAGCTGAAGAGCCAGTACTGTCCAAAGACATCTCTGTGGTCATGTGGCCGGCAGGTGGACGAAATGCCGAAGGCGCATGGAACGCTGTTACCTTCCCACCAAAGCGGTCCCTATTTTTCTACTTGCATTTTTATATGCTTTCGAACTGCTAGGTTGGCAGAAGCTGGGACAATTAACGGGAGCTCACTCCGCTACGCGGTGCTAGGGATTCGAACCACTGAACTGCCGACCTTTCTGATCGACAAGCTCAGTGTCTTAGCCATTGAGCCACCACGTCCCTTCTTTGGAGAAGTGTATGTGTGTGGGGGGAGGGGAATCAAGAAGATAGCCACAAAATGATTAAAGTCCCAATTCATTCCAGGTAGTCCTCCACCCGACGCCCATCCATTTAGTGACTGTTAAAAGTTGTTAGGGTGCTAGAAAAAAAGTGAATTATGATCAGTTTTCACACTTCAGACTCTTGCAGATCCCCATGGGGGGAGAAAATTCAGACCCTTGGGCAACTGGCCGGTATTGATGACGGTTGCACTGTCCTGGGGTCAAATGATCCCCATTTGTACCCTTCCCAGCTGGCTCCCAAAAAGCCAAAATACCCTCAATAACAAATGAGAAGCGAAACGTCTTCAAAGAAAAAGAACAAGAAAGTCCACTTGCCTCCTGGGGGGCGGGAAATGCACCTTGGAGACAGTCGTTCTGAGAAAACATTCCTTTGAAAATAGCTTTCAATTTTCAAAGTGAGAAATACCAAACGGATGGTATTCAGGAACAGGCGGAGAGGCTCATGTCTGGAGTAAGTGGTCACTTGTATTGGAAGAAATGTCCAATCTGGGTTCAGTTCCAAGTGGGAAGAAAGACCCTGGAAACGTGGAGACTGCTTGGAAAGATGGTTTAATGGTGGACAGGACCACATCATGGTATGAGGTCCTGGGCAAAAAAAAACACCTGGGTAAGAGAGGGAGAGAGATTTATACCCTCTGTTGGGTTTTGAACTTGCTTCTTGTTCCTGTGGCAAGAATCGTATCCTGGTTGGTTGTCAGACTTTCACGGGGCCATGCAGGGTAACTTTGTAGGTTATCTTGAGTCTCAAGCTTGGTTGAATCTTGTTGGGTGATGTAATCTTCCCAGGTGCCATGTGGGGAGATGGGTAGAGGGCTTATCACCGTGATGGTGAACCTATGGCACGCGTGCCACAGGTGGTATGTGGAGCCATTTGTCAGACCAGCTGACTTCGGCCTTCTTTTGAGCCCATTTTTTGCCCTCTGGAGCACAAAAAACCATTCCTATGGGCAAACCAGAAGTTTGGGGACGTACTTCCGGTTTGTTTGTAGGGCCAGTTTTAGCCCTCCGGAGGGTTCAGGAGGCTTCCCTGAAGGCTTCGGAGGGCAAAAACGACCCTACAAGCAAAACAGAAATCTATTCCTGAACCTCCGGTTTGCCCGTAGGGCCAGTTTTTCATGCTCCAGAGGCTTCAGGGAAGGTCCTGAATTGTCCAGAGGACCTACGGAGGGTGAGGATGCTGTTTTCACCCTCCCCAGGCTCCTATAAAGCCTCTGGGGAGGGGGGAAAAGCACACCAAAAACGGGAGGAGCCCTGTTCATGTGTGCGTGCACATAGCATTATGGATGTGACACGCCTGCACATGATCCCCCCCTGTGCTCCCTCCCGCCTTTGGCACGTGAGCCAACGAAGGTTCACCATCACTGGCTTATCCTATCATGTCTTGAAGGCCATGTCTTAATTCCATCACCCTAGAGCTGAAGTGGGGGCAGCGAGTTGCAGGAAGCTGTTTTGTCTTTAAAAACATGTTTCTCCTTTTCTCATCCAGGGAAATATAATATTCTGCCTTAAAATGTTTCCTAGAATATTACGTTCTTCTAGGACAGTGTTTTTCAACCACTGTGCCGTGGCACACTAGTGTGCC